TGTTAATTGTTCTTGTAAATAAAATTGTGATTAGTCTCCTGTGACTCCGGCTCTTTGCTGACTAATTCCCCAAGAAAACCAGCACGTCATTTGGAAGGTATTGTTCACCCAGAACAGTTCCATGATACTTCATTGAAATTGGAATTTCAGTTTTTGTGGTTGAACTGTTGGCTGTTGTATTATCTGAATCGACATGTTGAAATACAAATGGAAGGCATTCATTGATGATATACAATGTTTCAAACTATCACATTATGAACAATTGATGAGGGTCGTGCACATGGAAATACTGCACAATCATATCACTATTTATGTTCAACAAATATTTTCTGTTTTTTTATGTGTAGTTAAAACCTTGAATATGCTGTGTCATAAATTATTTCATATGATAATTTATTCTCACTGTATTACATTTACGTAATTAATACTGAGCAGATTTAAAACGCAAGGACATTATGAGATTGATTTGAGTAGGAGTAGAAATGTAATCATACTCATTAGTTGCTCGTGCTGTTACTAATGGAGATTGAGGCTTTTTGCGCATCCACTTTTCTCTTAGTGGTGTCACACTTGACCTCCGATAGCACAGCGTCTGATTTGTAGCCTGTCCTAGATTTGACATGATCTGTCTCTATTCCCTCATCGAAGAGGGTGATGTTTACAGTGGTAACATAAAATACACACCAAAACAATGCCACTTATCGTGGTACCATGATATAAAATCTAGCATAAATTCGTGACAACCTTATGATATATTATAAAGAAACAACGCTTTCATCAATATCAAAATTATAGCTTCAAAAACCTAAGACGGAATATTTCGTATTTTGGTATATTATGCTAAGTTATGATATCAGTATATGATCATCCTTTATTTTGAAGGAATCTTTAGTTCAATCATAATTTGGAATTCATCTAGATGTATCAATAATCCTTGCCTTTCGTCAGAGGTTAGTGTACATGATTGGCATTCGTACTTTTGTGAACCTATGTTTCAAAGCGTACAAAACCTAAGCAATGAGAACCGAAGCTGATGTGAGGTAAGTGGGAGGCGATGGAATGAACCAAAATGGGGTAATGTAATTTAATGTTTCAAACAAAGAAACATCTCATTAATATACTGTCTGCATAATGATTATGTATTCAGTTGTACGTTGTTTTATGTTAATGTTTGTGTTTTGTCACTCTCTACCACAATACAGAACAATTGGTCCTGTATTGTCGTGACCTAGCTGAAACTAAAAGTGAGAAGCGCCCAGAATTCGGTGTCAGGCTCAGCTGCAGTTATCGTATAAGACCCATCAATAGCGGTCCTCAACTGTATTTAAGTTTCTATCCCATGATATGGTCAAGTAGTACAGATACCAGCATGTTTCCAAAATGTTACATTGAAACAATAAAAGAAGTTGAAATCAATGTGAGCGTATGTTTTATTTCGCTTGTGCTCCTAAATCCCTGTGTGTAGGTTTTTCATGACGAGGGGAAAAACAATCCTGGTTTTTCATCATGAAAAGGCCCAACTGTCGCTTACATGATATTCTTCAAAATCATCTAAAGCTTGCAAGCTTGCAGTCTGATTTCCCGGCGACGAACCTACATCAAGGGAATACTGTAGTCAATCACAGATTTCTACAAACCCCGAAACAAGCATATGCACGTGTTGCACGAGCATTACCTTATTTTATAAAACGGTTGTAGGCATTGCGTATAAAGAGAAACAAGTCATTCGCGCCGACTTTGTACACCGATGTGCAATCGTGAACCCGAGGACTTGGCCGAGCTCCAAGACACATAGAGGGCACGTTACAACACTTTATCGTCTCGCCTTTGGTCTCACAACCTTATCTAAATAACGTAATGTCACTCCTCCTGTGTATTCCTTCTCTATTTTACGCAGAATATCTTTCCAATATTTTCCAAACAAAGATGCACATTGTTTTTTACTTACCGAAACAAAGGCCTGTTATTTCTTGTCCATCATTGGTAAGTAGCTAATATCTGCATAGACAGCATGTTAACCACGGTGTAAGTAGTGTGGATTAATTCATAATAACATATTAGACACTAGGTACTGGTCACTTGACACAAACGAATATATCATATGTTAACAAAACGTCGTTTGTCAAAGTCCAACCGCTATGCAAGTATACAAGTGGAATACGTATCGCAACACCCACATATGGTTATGCTCATTGGTACTTTGGTATTGATACATTTATGATCTCTGTTTTGAGGGTAATATTGACCTTTTCTGCACACCCTATATATAATGTCCTGGCCTACACCTTTGAGGATCACAGGACTGCAGCATGAGTAATCCGTGCCACATTACGTGGTACAACGTTAAACAGCAATTGATGTCTGTGTTGATAATTCACGATGGTGACTCCTCAAATGACACTAATTATTGGAATTCGGAATGCCGGTATGTGACGCTGTGCTGATGAGATTGTCTACGTCAAGAGACGCTGCACTGGCCTGCCAGGAATTCAGATCTTCATCAAATTGATAATGTTTGGGATATTATCGGTCGCAAAGTGCAACAGCAGAATCCCCATGTGCAAAATCTTGACGAATTGGACCACACCCTGCACTAGGAATGGGGCAGATTACCTCGGCGTCATATTCAACGTCTCGTACAGTCAGTGTGGAGGAGGGTTCGTGTTGTTATCCTGAGCAGCGAGGGTTAACCCGATATTGACACTGTGTACTGGATTGGGCGTCAGAACCATGATTGTAACAGGACTTGTAAATGTCACACGGCCATACAAATGATAATGCGTCTTTTTTCTGACCTGTATTGCTCTTTAATTAAATGTATGGGGATAACTTTGCTGAGTTCGTGTTTATCTTTCATTTCCATATCTCCATGAAGTTTAATTTATGCAGATGGTGCATTAAGTTGACGCATGAATTCGCACATTTTATAGTGAAGTAACAAAGTAATACTATGAAAATGTGGGACGTTATTTCCAGGTGTACATGTTGCCCAAAACGTTGATAACGCTAACCTTCTTTGCCTGCTTGCGGGGCACCCAGACGACAGCTAGACTGCTAGTCTGGTTAGACTTTTGACAGTGAGGTATTCACCGTATGAGGCACAGGTATTGCTTAAGCTAGATATGGAGGTACGGTTGATCTGAACAACAAGCACCTTGTGTTTGAGATGCGACTTCGGGAAATTCGAGTATGGAATTACAGAAGACGAAGAACTAACGGTGGAAGAGGATACATTCACTTTTTCGCCAACACCTCGTATCGCCACCATTTGATAGTGATTCATAAACACGTGCTTATGACACAGTCGGAATAGTACAATGGTTATGTTATGAAAAGGGCTTTGTCGCTTTCAGTTAGATCAAGTATGGCTTCCTCTCATAGCCATGAGCACCCTAATATATACAGTATTAAGCGCATTGCTAAAACAATTTGCTGTGCAGGTAAAACCTTCCTCGTGGACACAGAAATGTAACTCAGTGTCTATATGTCTCAAGTAAATCCTATAACTGTAGCGTGGAATCTCAGATTCGCCCTTATTATGATTCTTAATTACGGTGCTATGCCCGTGCTTGGGGGTTTCATCAGAGGGGAAAAAATTATCACTACAGGCCTAATCTCACATTGCAATGCTTGAAATACTGTTCAAAGGCCTTAAACTCATCTCCAGTACATTAATATAAGGGTCTATAAAGAAGGCGCGTTTGTCATCACCCAGAAGTATGAACTTTAATGCATAACAAACAAGTAATTATCATACTCGCATGTTAGAAAATCGTCGTTTGTCAAAGTCCGCTTGACATGCGGATATTCTCATTACAAACACAACCAAAAAGTATCCCTGTTAATCAAAGCGTGACATTGGAACAACGCAACAGTTTGACCAATTGTCTCAATGTCACGATTTGAAAAATGTTTCTGGTTTTTACCCAAGGGTGTCAATCAAACAATGCAATATTGCAAATAAAAAATCGTTATAAGTGAAATAATCTGCTCATGCGTAGAATGGCCTCTTGAAGTACCAATAGGAATAAGGGTTGCTTTTCCCAGAATGAAAAACTAATATTTGTTTCTTTACACGTTATTCAATATATCATTATTGTCCGTGTCCTTTTCATTACAACTGGAAACTCTTTCTACTTCATTTGATTTTGTCCTTCCAAAACTGTTTCGAATCAATGAGGGGGCATGGTAGACCCCATCGTCTTAATAAGCCGCAGTTCTTTGCGCACGGTTGCGTCCTCTAGGCGTGACACAAAAGTATGATCGTGTGTTCGAATCCCAGCTTCACTTTGGACTTTCATCCCACATCAGGTTGACATGTTGTAAATAACTGAAATGATGTTCAAACTTACATTAAACCAAATTTGTCAAAGATTTACAAATGACATTGGTCTGGTTAACAACACGGTTGCATAGGTTGGAGGACAGCCACGTACTTTCGTACATTTTGTGATCAAGGCGTCTCTTCCCATGTCACGTAGGTACGATATATTGTCCTGTGGGCTCTATTCTTTTCATTACTATTGCATTTCTTGTCATTGTAGGCCCGGCTCACAATTATCAGCTTGGTGATAAGATGTCTATGCATTTACTGGCTGTGTATCACATGATGTGTTGACCTGGTTCAATGTATAAAAAGTCAGTATCACGTTACCCATGGCGCAGGTTGACAGACACCTCCGTGCAGTGCCACACGTGTTGCCCCTCATTACGACAACAGTGAATTCGTCTCGCAATTTGTGAAATGTAACCATGGGCTTCCATATGTCATGATACTATGCGATTATTGTGGAGATGAAATACTCCAAGACACTCAACGTGTTTCTGTGTATCACAGTGATGTGGACGCGCGATACGTGGCACAACATGATTGTATACCAGTTGGCTTTGAATGTGTCACTGTGTGTGTCAAAGGTGACAACATAACATAGGGTATCTATGCATTTATTGGCTGTGTATCACGTGATGATTTGACTGGGTGACGGTGCGTGTATATAAATCAATTTTGCATGACTTCCGTGCAGTGCCTCGATATGAGCTTATATTAACAGTAAGTTCGTCTCCCTCTCTCAATTTGTGAAATGTAGCCAGGGATGCCCATGTGTCATGATACTATGTGACTATTGTGGAGATGAAATTCCCCTAGAATCACAACATGTAATTGTGTATCACAAGGATGTGGACGTGCGCTACGTGACACAGCAGGACTGTATACCAGTGGGCTATGATTGTGTCACTGTATGTGTCAAACGTAACAAAATCATCTATCTCAATAAGGGGAGCTTATTACCAAAAGGCTTTGAATGTGTAACTGTTTCTGTCAGAGATCGGGTCATACAGTATGCAAGGAGAGAAAACTTAATACCGGAGGGTTTTGAAAAAGTCACTGTGTACACCTGGAATGCGGACATAAGATATGCAAGAAAAGGGGACATCCCACCAACAGGGTTTTATCATGTTTCTGTCTATGCAAAGAATGAGGAAATAAAGTATGAGAGAGAAGGTCGTCACATCCCAGTAGGTTATGAAGAAGTGGCCGTCTATGTCAAAACCGAAGACATACTATATACAAGGCAAGGAGAGCTGGAACCGACAGGGTCTGAACCCGCAGACGTTTATGTGAAAGACAAGGACGTAACACAGGCAGAGTGTCTACAAGTGAAAGAAGTATTTCACACAGAGTGTCTGGAGTGAGTATTGCATTTCAACATTGTATATGCACAATGTGCAATGACGTGTTAGTAGTTGCTGTGTTTTCTCAAGGTTTGGTTAATTTTTTGGTCACGCGGTTTGGCAGCCATATTGGATTCACGGTTTTCACAGTGTTTTGGGTGTACAAGTCTTCAAATCCTTACTCCTTTGAAACTACTGAATTAAATGTTTCCGAACTTGACTTGTCTCCATAGATAGCACATCAAAACCTGTTAACCGCTTTGTGATATCTTTTTGCGTTGGGCCCATATTTGATTTCGACTTTGATAATTTGTTTTCTCATAAATTTTACTATAAAGATCATATCCTGTAAGGTTCTTCACAGAAAGTATTGAACGTGTGCATAAAGTCTTGGTGCCTCATGTACCCCATCATTTGTTCTTGGTTGCATGTTAAAAGTAACCCCGCTTGGCAGTTATATTTGATGTTTTGTTTAGTACTGTCCAGTACAAATACTGAAAGAAGCGCCTCATGTGTATACGATTAACCCCCGTTTACTGGCTATCCAGACACCCATGAGCAAAACCCAGTCTTGTCTCTTTTTTTTTAGTATTGTGCATACAACCCTTGAAGATGAGGGTTAGAATTTGTCTTCAGCAGCCCATGCTTGTCTTAAGATGAGACTGTGCTTGTCGTAAGAGGTGACCAACTAGGTTGATGCATGTCTTCGTTTCCCAATTGCCAATTGCTGCAGTGACTTACTTTTGATAGCGTTGGTACAAGAAACACTTTTCAGGATTCGGACATGGTCGAGGTCTTGCGCTACCCAAGCCGCGAAGATGGTGCTCCTGGCTCTGGTGTGCCCATCTCAACTCAACCCCAGTTGGAGCCTATCCCAAGCGGGGCTGGGGTTTCCGTCTGCGCCGTGCACTACACAAGCCGAGTCGGCTAGCCCGTCTCAAATCGAGGTGGTGCTCCTAACTCACGCGCGCCCGTCTCAAACCCAAGCCGAGTCGACAAGCCCTCATATTAGTAGCGCGTGGGGTTCCCGTCTTTGGCAGCTTTTGAGTGTCCACTCATTCGCTCAGCACTAGTGGTATTAAAACTATCGTTTTTTGTGTCGTCTACGGCCACACCATTGTGAAACACCGCTTCTCATCCGCTCAGTTGCCCGATAATGTTCAAATTGTGTAGACAGTTGAGTTCCAGATACCACAAAAAGTTCATGTCAGAAACAAGTAATCTTATAAAACATATCTTGCCCTATTTCTCCGCAAACGGTCATGAATTTGATTTTATTTCGCAGTGGCAATGTCTCACAAAGGGTGCCTATCTTTTGGCGGTGGTCTTGGTGCAAGCAAACCAATTGAGGATTCGACCATGGTCGAAGTCTGCAACGGTTTGCATTCCGCCACACGTCAGTTTGGTAGCAGCCCCTTCGTTTTGATGGCATTGGTACAAGCAAACCGTTTGAGGATTCGAATATGGACGAATACTTTTGAGTATGTTTGTGCGTGTGTGTTACTTGGAACCCAAAATTGTTATTTGCGTCTATATTTTATTTGCATTCATTCTGAGAATTGTGTCACTTCAGGAAACATATTCCAAGGCGTAATGAGGCAGCTCGTAAGTTCCTAATTGTCTCTCCAAGATCCAATGTCCTGGCAACTGGCATCCATGTCAAGTATCTATTTGGGGTAGGGAAGGCAAAACAAGATAATTCAAAAAAGAAAAAGGAGAAGAGAGATTGTAAAGCAGCGGAGTTACTGAGAAAAGTATCAGCTCTGCGCAACTCAAAATCTGGATATATACTGATTCATTTTGTTGGTCTCGCACCTGGAGATTCTTTCACTGGCGCATTTGATGAGTTTGCTGACCCAAAACTTCACAATTTGATTCAAGATGGAAAACAGTTCTGTGATGTTTACAGGAAAGCGACATTAAACAGTCATTGTGCTTGTAGGGATTTTGGCGACTTCCTTGTTCTCTATGTAGGAGCTGCTTCTACTGTGACAACTTCTAGATTCAATACCAAGACAACATTTGATGACTGCATTATTGACATTCCTGCAGAAACGCTCAGGACATTTGTTAGAGAAAGGAAAACCTTCAAAGAAACATTCCATACAATTCCTTGTGTGACTCATGCAGATGATCTTCTGAATGTTCGTGAAAACAGATCACTTCAATTGAAAAGTAACCTTGAACAAAAGGAAGGGGATCAAGCATTGGCAGAGTATATTATCAAGAATCTCAAACTTGCAGAATACATAAGCGCATTTACTAAAACTGAATGTGGTGGTTCTTATCTCTATGGTGTCCATGAGGAAAATTGTTTTCTGGAGGGATATGGTTATGAAACTAAAGTAATCCGCATCCAGCCTGTTGTTCTGAGGGACAGAACTGCATTCAAGGACACGTTAGAGGATAACATTGAGAATACTGTTCTCGTCTGTGACTATGATGGAAACGAAGTATCTGTCAAAGATGAGATTATATTCCAAGTTCACTTTATTCCTTGCACACCAGCAGAGGAAGAAGTTTATCTGAGAGAAAACTGTGAATCTGTAAATCACGGACATGGTGATGTAGATCAAGTAGTTGTTCATGTTTCAGTCAGACCAGTGAGCGGGATAGTGTTCTATGACAAACAAGGACCACTTGCATATCGATATGACAAACAATTCAAATTGATCACACGGATTAATATCAAGGATTGGGTACGTGCTCTCACAAAACGATCGGAAACACCGGAGTGAACTGATATATAACAAACAACGTTAAGTTGCCAGTGTCACCTAAATCAAATTCATATCTTTTGTGGATTCCTTTTGAGTTACCAACTCTGTTTCCAGTTTGGAAAATCATCTTTGCTTCATGTTGTTTAACCTAAATCATAATTAATATTGATCGTTATATTTACATATCGTTATATTTAAACCGGAATTATTATTTGACACACAAATAGTTGTACCTAAAGAAATGTATATGGCGTGTTTGTGACGACCGTCACATTTCGTCGGCCAGAACCAGAATGTCCCATCTTTACTTTTAAAAGATTTGAGCAAATCGCATTTCAAAGTTTGAAGTACTATATGAAGTAACTTAACCAACAATAAGTATTTTTTTCACTTAAAACAGACAAATACCGATTCTTTGATATGCTGTTAAAGACAATTAACCTCCTTCTTCTTGTTTGAAGATAACTGTTATTTTTGGTAATAATGCCGCAAATATTGGTCATTTGTTTAAGATTCATACTGTTCTATCGTCATTTTTATTCCATTAATCATCATAACAGATCAAACTTGCCTCTCCTTGTGTACAATACGAATTGCTCGTGTTTTAACTATAAGGAAGTTGTTATCCAATTACAATTTGATTCACCAGAGTAAATTTACAAACAATTTCTTCTTTTACAGATTACTGCAGAAAATGATATTTTTATTCTATACACTAAACTGCTGCAAGAGAGCACAAATATTTTAAAAGTTAAACATAACTTATGGCAGGCAAATTGAGAAAAAATCATAATCGGAGACTTCAAATGGGTCATATATCGACTTCTGCGAATGCTTAGATAAAATTTGTTTCGTCAGGGTCGTGTAGTCGAACTCAATGGAGATTTCTTATAATTATCGATATATTTTTGTCGCTTTTATAAATTTGTATTTGACATGTATCAAGTTATGCGACTTTTTCCAAATCTGGTAATTATGGTTCATATTTGGAGTAGTAAAAAAGTGTTTAAATGTTAGGTTTAAGTTGTTATGTATCCCGACTTATATTGCCCAAAGCAATGTTATTTGCTTATGAAGATTTCGTTGGGTTACATGCATGTGATGTACTATGTGATGTAAGGTTTAGGTTTAATTTCAATCCGGGGATATTTCAAACTTTATGATCAAGCATAGATTAGAAAATTTAGGAAAGATAAACATTTTGGGAAAATGAATCAACACAGATGGGAAATATTAATTGAATGATAGCTATGGAATATTATTCAGGAAACATTAATATTTGGGAACTTACAATGAGCCTCTGCATGCTCAGTGAGTGAGTGTGTTGCCACTTTGAACATAATTTCAATAATATCGTGGCATATACGCTTCATGTGAGGAAGGTTTTAGTGAAACCCGCGTGAACTACTATAGTGCTGACGCAACCAGAAATAGAATAAGGGCTAATCATGGATTCGGACCCACGATAACAAATTGTAGGCACGCATAAGAGTCACAACGTTGCACAGACTCGTGTAACTTTCAAAAGTAATAAAGGAAGTGATTTTTTAATGTGTACACTGTGTGAATCACGTTTGTATTTTATTGAACCGCTTTGCGACATAAGGTAAATTACATCACACAGCACCAAAGTTAGATGATCATAGGTAGATTCGTTAAATGATTGAATTCTAATGATATATCTGTTTCTTTGCTAAATGCGATAAGTATGCTCATAAAGGTAAATCTACTGTTATGTTCTTTTCCTTGATCTGCCTTGCCAAATTATTGTAGCATAATTTTACACAGGCTGATAACAAATCTATCCTTTCATAAAACAAAATATTCTTATGCTCTACTAATGTTCTGTTAAGCGAGAATATATTGTGATACTTGTCGATGGAAATGATTGTTTTATAATATTCTTGATGTCTCGATGTTTAATCATTTCAGGCAGCATGTGGAAGCTACTAGTAAGTGCATATATATTTGTTACAACATTTAAGAAAACATCTATACAAGATCGGGGAAATATTATTGATATTTACTATAATTCTATACAGTTGTCAAGATTAACATTATTTTATCTGTAAATCACTAGATGTTTCCCTAAAGAGCATGATCGATAAAGCTGTACCAGTTTCATTTCACATTATCAGTGCAAGCTTCACGTTTCATTTCATGTTCCAGCAAAATATCGCAAAGGAGGATGAGCATGGTCTATGTCTGGGGACAAACGACTTTTTTCGTCCGGGCCTAAAACAGATTGGAAACAGTCTCTATGAAATAAGAAGTTACTTCATTCAAAAAGGTAACAAACGTAATCATTTGACGGACTGCCTTCAATAAATTTTAACAAAGCATATAATTTATACCAAGGACATGTTGAGGTCATTTATAGATACATTTTAGTCAAATCTTCGAAAGACACCAAAACGCTTTGCCCCTTAAAACTTTCAATAGTGCCCTTAACATACACAAAAACATCAGGTAAGTTATTCGGTTCATTTGATCGATGTATAAAATCATACAAATTGCAACTATATTTTGATCTTCTGTATCATAATGTGTCACATAATCGGCATACGGCCATTGTACGTGCGATGGACAAGCTTTCAAAGAACTGTATATTTGTATATTTTCAGATGGTCAGAATACTGTGCCAACGGTCCTAAGAACCCCTTTAGCACAAGTGAAAGAACGACTCATTGAACACATAGAAAATCACACATTCGACTTTGTATTTGATCCTCTGACCAATGAAGTGGTAGACTTTCCAAACCCAAAGGCTGGACCATGCTTTATGTTCTTAGCCCATTCCTTATCAGTAGTACTAGATTTCCCCACGTCACCCCGTCCAAGCCACACGGTATGCGATATATTCCTGGCACTACCTACACAACCTGTGATAGTTTTGTCACTGGTTGATGGAGATGCAGAGTCTCCTGAAGCAGTGATGTACAATACATCAGTGGCCAGAGGAGTGATAGAGACACTCAGCAGATTCACGGATGAAGATGTCAACTCCATACATGGAGTAATTCATACGTCAATCCTCGAGGACGCTGCCTCATTTGAGACTCGACTAAAAAAGTTGGCAATTGATTCTTCACGTTTTGTCACAAGCGATTCTTTGGTAATGACACCTGGCAGATATGAGAAAGTACTCACTGCTTTCTGGGCTGGTGTTGCTGAAACAAAGTCGGTGCTTAAACATACTGGTGACACTGATGGTAATTGTCTGAGATTTCTCACCAAAGAACAATGTGTCATTCTGGTGGAGAACATAAACAATAAGGATGTCCAGGTGAAGTGTGCCCCTGGAAGTGGAGCCACGACGTTGATGCTGGAGGTGGCCAGGAGACTGAACCGACAGGGGGACACTCTGCTGGTGTGTAGGTCACGGGAGGAGAGGGACAGACTCAGGTTTGTATTAAGATATAGCAAATGTAGACTGTATTGAGTCGGTGTACTTAATGTTTGTTGCCATCAGTAACATTAGTAGTCGTATTAAGTTAGGTAACACCATAAAGCATTAAACAATAGAATTACTTTCGTAAATGAGTCTGCAGGAAGAAGCCTTAACTTAAAGCCTTAATGATTGTTTGAAACCATCACTTGATATGAGTTCAGTTTTGTAAAAACGTGTTTCCAGGTCGGTGTACCCATCAGCTGTAGCAGCAGAGGATCTCAGTACGGTTGACCTGTCCTCCTGTGTGTATATCGTGGATGAAACCAACACAGTCATGACACACGCAAGCAGTCGGAAGTGGCGATTTGGAACCTGTAAGTATATTTATATATGACAATAAATTCAGCACTCTGTAGTCAAAACCAGACTCTTTGTCGTTAATACATATACTTCCTTGTTAGATTATGAATGTTATTTTTAATCTGACAAATTTGGTGAAAGAAAGAGAAAAAAAATTAAATAACATAGCATTTCTTAAGTACTGTTGATACAAAAACTCATTCTGTGTGCAGCTAACAGCTTATAGTTTGTTGACGACTTGCATGTTGTTCATTTCAGATGTAACTGATATTAAGGAACTGACGTCCCAAATATTTGAGGCAGAAAGGGTAATGTATGTTGTAACACTAACCATATCATGGCAGGGTCTAGAGGTGTGAATGTTTCGATTGAGACAGGTATTTTCTTCACATATATTTTGAGTCGTCATTTCCGTGGGGAGTTTGTTTCCTGGGCAGGATTGCCGAACACTCATAACCAATGAGACTACAACATGTACTGAGAACACTTAAATAACAACTAGCTGCTATTAATACCAGTCAGTCGTATCAATACCCTACAGGGATAAGAATATATTCATTGAATAGCCATTACTGGTTCCCTCGAAGCCGTTTGTTCCAGAGTTGCTGATTATTAACAAAGTTTTCATTTTATGTTTGCAGGAAACGGAAGGGATAGAGAAACAAATAAATGTTTTGTCTGATGGTAAATGTTTATTACAAAGTCACAATAAATAATGAAGTGAAATAGAATAAAGCTATTTCGTGATGATGATAATGATGATGATGATGATGATGATGATTAAGATAGAGTAAATAACGTCGAGAGAGATGTACCAATAACAACGCAAACAAGCCTCATGATACGACTCTCAGCTTCATAGTTTGTACCTATTATACATGCTTTAGGGTTTAAGTAATTTTGCTTTTTTTCAAAAACATTTCAGATGCTTGGAAGAAACAGATTGAATATCTCCTCAGGGATTTCAGTGTGCTGAAAATATTTAGTTACAAACTGGGACAAACATGGCGTATAGCTGTAAGTTGATGGATGGATGGATGGGTGGATGGATACATACATACATACATACATACATACATACATACATACATACATACATACATACATACATACATACATACATACATACATACACAGATACATAGATACATGGATACATAGCAGAAAACACTGTGATTACAAATCCTTAGTAACAAAGATATAAACGTCTTATAACATACACCAATAGTAACTGTATTAATGCCACTTTGGTATCTTTGTTTATATGCAGGTTCGTCCGCTACGCCATAGTCTGGAGGTCAAGCCACAAGGGCTTACAAGCAAAGGTCACTACGCATTTGAGTATTTCCATCCTTAAAGGCCCACGTAAACAATGCATGTTTTGAAAGACTGACATATCCATTGACTTGGCTAAAACAAAAGTCAGGTTCCCAGGAGATGGAATGATTCACTATTCATTGAAATTACATGAGGAAACCCAAAGTTTAATGTTGATTATTAAAGAGAATAATTATCGATTTATAGATTTCGTTATATAAATGGTTGATTTGGTTTATTGCTGCTTAATGTAAGAGCTATTATCGATGTCTCTTTATAAAACTGCTTGGGGTGATGTTTACTGGGGGTGGGGGATGTGATGACATTCAGAACAAATATTTCAGATGTAAAAGATAGTCTTTCTTCTTATTCATTTCAGCCTTTGGCGGCTTCAGACAACTCTCTTCCACACACGAGGCTCAGTTGTCAGACCTACATGACGGAATGAGACAACAGAAGAATATGTTTCCTCTTCTAAGATCGGTAAGAATTGAAATTACAGAGATCTAGGGTATGAATCGCAAGCAAAATAATGACTAACAAATAAGATATGATAATGAAAATCACATTGTCTATATATTTTGTTTCAGGTCATGATCAAAGATAAAACGCTTCAAATGTATCACGAGGTTAAAATGGCCCACTTGAGGAATGGTATGTAGTGTAGATAATAAGACTGATGGTTATGTCCTCGGAGCATAATGTAGCCAACTAAGTAATGCATGTCATAACACGTTCCCTCCTCCACTGATATTGTCCTTCATTCCAATGTACTCCGCCAAGCCTTCTCCATGACCTTCCTCCAGACCTTCCTTCTCTTGACCGTACTTCATCCCAGTCATCTAATTGGTCCTGTATACCACGCATCCTACTTGCCCCCCTAGTCCCTTGTCAATTTGGCCATTCCTCCCTGGAGCATCTCGTTTCTTATATCATTGTTCTGCTGTCTAAACTCCACATAACATATATCACATGTTATATTTCTGTATTTGAACTGTTATTGATCATGTTCTTCTCTTTCCTTTCTCCTACCACTACTACCCAAAATCCCCAATTCTTCCATCTGTGCTTCACCAGTTATTCCATCTCTCATTCTGGAGCCATTGCATCGTCCTCCTTCTGTGTGTGCTTCATCTTGCCATTCTCCCATCTGTCTCTCGTTATTCCCTCCTACACTCAAACATGTTGTACCAGTGGGACATTTGCCTTTACAGTGGTTCAACTGGTATATAACATGTGAGTAAAATGAGAGTACATAAATGGATACATTTCAAAGACATGTATAATAAAACAATTGAATGATGACTGTACGTTCTAATTGTAGTTTCAATCTTTCAGCTTTGGGTAAAAAAGAATACACAGAATCGAAACACAATTTTACGATGGTAAGGTGTGACATACATATCTATAATCCCCGAAAATGTTCTTCTAAAAATAGATTAAAATACAAAATTTCAAACCACAATGTGCCAACATCATCTTAAGATTTAAAGAAGTTTTTGATGAGATAGTTTGCTAAATGTTGGCTGTTAAATGGAATACATTGGTTCCTTCAAGATCAAGGAAGGTAAGGTTTTATTACTTTTCAGGTTGGACATGTCGAAAGTCCAGGAATTGAGCAACAAATGGGTAAGTTTCAACATATTATTTCTGTTTATTATTATTGTGTTTTTATCGATGCAATATGTATTGATCGAAATTACAATGACAGCATGTTGCTGCTACTCAGTTGTCTCTCTAACAACACTGAAAATGTGAAAACATTTTTGTTTTTGCTTGTTGCAGAGAGGCTTCACTTTGAGTCAGGGAAGGAAGGTAAAGAATCCAACATTCAAGTGTGTAACTTACAAGAATCTCACGTTCCTAGACTGATTATCTTAATCTTATGATTAATGTTATATTCTCACTGTCGCATATTACGAACATATTTAGGAAAGGTGCATATTATCTTCAACTGCAATCTGCCAAGATCTGGATTATAGAAACATATCAAACTTCCTTTTCAACCAATGTTATATCTTAGGTAATCATAGATTACATGACTTTGTGTATTTCAGCCAGTACTGAAGGAAGGTATCCAGACAACCGAATTGGAAATAGAGCCACAGGACACAGATGGAAAAGATCTTGAAAGCCGTAAGTACCTGCAGCTGAGGGTCCTGTGGGTAGAATTAAGATTGTCCACTCGTGAAAACTTAGTAAGAATTATCATAAATCATAAATTTACAAGTTACTTTACCCAGATAAAAGGCATCGCTGCCGTATTGCTCCCTTACAATGATTCCCTTTATATGTGTCTTCAATTTTCAATACAGAACATAAAGTCATTCACGTATTGAAAAGGTCACCATGTGAGTGGTTGATATATTAATTTTCGATGTTTGTTTGTTTGTTTGTTTGTTTGCAGGCTGGGGAGAAATCGACAAGCTTAATCACGATCTGGACAACCTACTGAAGGTAATTTTTCATATATTAATATTAATCATAACATTCATAATAGATTTTTAAAAAATACAATGGTGAATACTGGAATGAAGGATAGACAATTACAAACATTTTTAATTGTTACACGCACGAGTAGATAGATATAGTGTGTCTTATCAAGTTTTTTGTTGTTTCAGGACAGGGATCAAAGAAAAGAAAAACTCCACAAATTATACACGGGTATGTAATCCGCTTCTGGAAACGTATTCACTTAACTGAATGTCCCGCATGTGACGAAATTTCTACTACCATGACTACTACTACTACTACTACTACTACTACTACTACTACTACTACTACTACTACTACTGTTGTTGCTGCTCCTACTACTGCTACTACCAAGTTAAATGATAATTAATTACTAATCATTGTTGATAATGTACTGCTCAATGATAGGTTTATCTACTCTATATATCGTTTTCTTTTCCAGTGGAGTGGCAGGCAACAATGGAGTACCTGACTCGATACACGACGGTCTTATCTTTGTTAGACAAGGAGGTACCCAGTTTCGATGTTGTGAGTATAACCGTTTAGCTATGGATTGGGATATCTACATTTTTAACATTAGTTTTACATTTTACTTTACAGATCATTTCCAATTTTTGGAAAACACATTGTGAAAATGAAAAAAATGCTTGTATTTTTAAAATTGTAGTTAACAAATGAAGCAAGCTTATATCATCATGAGAACATGAAATAAAATTATTCTCCAGACATGTTCACCTCCAACTGAAACTTCTCTGTATAAATTTTACATTTATTAAAGTATTTAACTTCCTCTAACGTTATGTCAGTCTCAAATAAACAATTAATTATTTGTTTTTCATGCTTGAGTTGGAGGATATCCACACTATTCACATAGAGAGAGAGAGAGAGAGGGGGGGGGGGGAGGGGGGGGGGGGGGGGGGATTTTACAAGCTGAACAACAAAACATCCAGTGACATATCAGTTACGTTTGGCAACCAGATGAATGACTGTTCTTGTCTACACATGAAACATGTACCTTTACTTACAGCTGGCTGGTTCTATAACGTCACAATCTGACAACACGAGTGATGGTCGAGGCCACAATAGAGGTAAAACACAACTTGAAGCAATTGATATATTCAGTTCCCCAATCAGCATCAAAATAAAGCTATGCAATGCATTTGCCCATGAGGTACAATCTGCAGCAAACTCTTTTGTAGTGATCCCCATACATCTAGGAAATTGCCAACTACCCAGCAAACATTTGACAGTTTTATAAGTTTCATACATATAAGTCACAAAATATTTCATGAGGGTTTTTTTCTCTTTTGGTAATTATCAGAACAGGATTCTAAAGGACACACAAGAGCTCCCGTTCTGATTCACCAGCTGAGGCAATACCAACAGGGACGACTGACAGAAAACCACCTGGCTGCAATTGCAATGAAGGTAAATAGCAGGGACCAATATCAATAGAAAAACAGATATCTAATCTATCATGGACCTGACGACCAACATGTACCTAGGATAACAACATAGCCCACACACAGCCACTCCATGATATGTCTTTGTCGTTTAAATGAGCACGAAAAGAAGCGAACGTAAAATCTGCGTATGTATTCCCGCTTCTCATGCACTGACCTGATTAAACTTAAATAGTTTATGAAATTCACACACACACACACACAGGCACGCACGCACGCACGCACGCACGCACGCACGCACACACACACACACACACACACGTGTATAGATAGATAGACAGACAGACAGGTGTGTGTGTCTGTATTTTATCTTTGTGTAGTTCATATGTGCTCAACATGCTCATCTTAACATTTATGCATTAAAGTCATTATTATCAGTATGTTCTACTGATATCTGAAACCTATATATTGGGAGATACTTTGAAATATACATATTCATAGCAATGTTTACTGAATTGAATGTATTGTGATTTGATATACATGTATATGGTATATGGTTATGTATATGCTTAGAGATCGGTACGATCTGGGTGTGGGCTGGTTTATCGGTCTGCAAGCTGTTCATTAGCAAAGTGAATTTTCAAAGTATTAATTCAATGCTTGGACGGAAATATCATGATCTTTTTCATGGGTTGATCCCCTTAGTGTAATTGTACTACGACTTTTTCTCTTTCGGGATCTCAAAATGTTGATGATTAAGTTTGTCACTTGGATTATGTCTCAATACTGAAGGAATGTCATCCGCCATTGAACTCGTGAACAGCTGCCTGAATAGTGTCACTGTCAGTTCTTGGTTGATTTCTGTACAACCAAGGATTTTATGACATCCTGTAAAACATGGCAACACGTTGCTGGATTATTTTATCTTGTAGATAATCAGGGAAAACGAGCAGCAACTCACAGAACTGAAAGCAAAGAACGATACTCTGGAAAAAGGTTTGTACTGTTAGGTGACAATGCTTACAGACATATCTCTACTGTTCTGTTCTTATTGAAGTTTTCAACATGCACTGTATACACAGATCGATGATGCTATTATGCTGGACTTCTGTAATACAACTGCTGACAAGGAGCATTGTCCCAACATCGAAGGAGTTTATCTTTCACGTGTAGTTTTGTTTCAATACTGAAATTGTTTCTGAAATTAGCCGTGCTTCATAAAATGTGATCGAAAAAACGGTTTAACGTCGCGTTCATGTTTATTGCACTTAAATAACGCCGATTTTATAGTGCTAGCTAGATACCATGCCTCAGTTTAACATGAATACCCCACTCTGACATGGTAAAATGATTCCGAGCCAACCAGTCCTTGTTCAAGCCCCTTAACGCCGAGTGCCAGGCAGGGTAACAACAGGTGCCATCTTTTACCGTCTTTTCGAATGACGCGGCTAGGGATTGAACCCCAACCTTCTGCTCTTCGGGCGGACGCTCTATTACTAGCCCGAGGAGGCGGTCACTTCACATAAAGTTGTGTAAATTTTATGTTTTTGCAAATAACAACGCACTATTTAGTCATTCCTTTGATCAATGTTTTATTCTAACAAATTCGTTGACAAAACCCATACCTGGTAACCGGAAACATAGCGACACGTCCTAAAATAGGGGTGGTATAACAACTCAGTTTACAATGTCAATATTGGACCACCATTTGATGCAGGTGATGCAGCAGGTGCGCATTGAAGACACGAGATGATTGAAAACAGCCAGGGAGTTGTTGTTCAAAATGGCAAGCAAAGCTTGGCCCAACTTAGCTATATCGTTATCGTCTGGTTCTGTTACTGTTGTAAGTGTCGTTCCATCTCAACCCAGGCAAATTCCTTTGGGAAGAGGTATGGAGAAACACCATGCCATGACAGTACAGCAATGTTATGCTGCCTCAAAATAGGTGTTCCAACACTTGCAACATGTGGTCGGATTGATCCTGCTGTAACGTGACGTTACGTCCCTGGATTTGCACAAAGGGTAGAACATAATCTCAAACGATGTCGTCCCGCTAGCGCATGCCATTCAAATTACCATTAACAATGATGAGTTGTGTTCGCAGTTGAGTTGTGATGCCACCCCATACAATGACACCTCCAAACCCAAACTGACGATGTTGAGTAACACAAGCGACAGTAAGACGTTCTTCTCGGTGCCTGTTGGCCCTTACACGACCTTCCGCGCTGACAACTCAGTCCTGTCTTCTGAACCTTATATGCTGTCAACACCAAACTAGACGTGACTGACGGTGATGTGGAGGCAACATTTGGGATATCGCTGAATGTTGTGGTCAGATATTATGCTTCCTCAACCGGTTGTGTATGGTTTTGCCACTAATTGGTCTCAACCTAGGACTTGTCCGAGCTGTTTATGTAGCAGTTTGGTATCGATTCCGTACATGCACCAACCGAATACGGTTGGCTTGTTGACATGACGTCACACATTTCAAACCGGCCCGTGGTACGTTTCGAGTGTTGCCATGTCATAGATGATATTGTGTTTCGATAAACATGAAAGTGTCTGACAACGTTGTTTTGCGCCGTTCCTGTTTGCAGCATACCCACGGCACATAGCCGTTGCATTGCGTGAGCGTAAGTTTCCCAAAAGTGTTTTGTTTATGAGCACCTGATAGATAGACAATTATTGTGTGCTTTTGACAACCAAAACAACGTGTGTGAGTATCATGTCCCGACAAACACGCAATCATTCAAAGTGTGCGCCGTGAATGAACATGCACGTGCGAATTGTGAATCTCGACATTAAAGTCGAGGAGATGTCTCCATAAATTTGTATTGAAAGATGCAGATGTAACGGTTACTATTTTCCGTTTATGTACATTCAAACCATGATAATGAATCGGAATCGGAATCATACAATGGCCTGTTCTTTTAGCAGAGATTTATGATTATTGTAAGGTGGTGTCGCCCTTGCAGGGGTTCATTTACTAAAATGGTCTGTCAATGCCATAAAAGTATCTTTTAAATAAACTTGTGAGAGAATCAAAAGATTTTGTGTCCATGCGAGATATTCCACCCCAATCTGCCACTGTCTATGTAATGTTGTGTAGTTTTATTATTAAGTTGTTGATCTCCAAACTTTTACCCAATCAAAGCAGCCAATACCTTAATGTGTAAAGATAGTTCTCATCTTTCAGACTATGGAAGCGCTGTACACATTGTTGGACTCACATGTCAACCTAGACTGGTTTCGTGTAAGTATTGCCAGTCAGCAATATGGGAGCAACATAACGACGAATCTGAAAAACATAAACTGTCATGGTATAATTGCAAACAATGAGGCAGGCAACATGTTATCAGATTCCATTTTATATAGTTATGACACCAAGCAAAGAATGCAAGGGACATAACTCTTACCATGTATAAAACATATATATCCAACTTAAAAAATATGGACAGTAGCTCTCTTTTGACATATAATAGATTATAACTTAACATAATTAAAAGTAGGTTTACTTCTATGTCCAATAATAAAAAAGTAAAATATACAGTAGTCTTTTGTACCTGATGCAGCACAACTGCTAAATGCTACTGAGCTTATGTTGAAACTCGGGCACTTCAACTGACCAGCAGAAACATCGACCAAGTTCAAGTTAGTATAAAACGTCAACGCCAAAGGATAATCTATCTAGATTATCTGCCGTAACAGATTCCATTGGGCGTAAAAAGCAAAATGGCGGTGAAAATAATATGAATGGATCACTGAAATCAGTGATGACACCAGGTGTTCGCGAAAAGGGTAAGCATGTCACTCACACAATTTACATTAAAAAGTAATTGTTGTCTGACGCGGTGAAACAGTACTCCTGGCATACAACGGTGGCCTGTAAACAAACCAGACAATCAGTTGAAGGATCAGAATACCCAGTGACAGGATAGCGCATTTACTGATTTTGCTGAAACTAAAAACGATATGACAATTTTGAATAATATCTGCTGAATCATGAAATATGTTCGGGTTTTCTTCAACACATTTGGAGACGGAGGGGCTTGGGGCAGTTATAATGTGTCACTGAAACCAGGTGTTCGCGACCTACATGACCTATGCTAGTATATTGACCTTCACTATGTCTTTATCTGCCCTATGAGAGAGGGATAATTTTGCTTAAAATGCAGTTCATGTGACTTCTAATATGAATCTATTCGTGTACTGACCCAAGTGTATAAAATGTCTCATGAACTCACAATGCATACTACACTGTAGTAGAGTTTATGTATGTGTGATGCCTACATTCGACTTGTACATAAAGATTAGGAAAGAGATGCTACATTTCATAGTACGCTACATTTCACATTGGGTGAAACACAGAATGTTATACAGTTGTGGTTTTAATTTCTTTTCATGTGTATTTGTATTATTTGGGCAATGTTGATGGATTGTAATTGTGATTGTGGTTATATGGGAGTCCACCCTCTCCGCGTAATTTTAGAAATTAGAAGTTTAGAACAAAAAAACTTGTCACTATAAAGCATATATGCTTATAACGAACTGCGGTTATAACGAATTAAAGTTAGTGATCCCTTTAAGTTCGTTATAACCGAATTTTACTGTATTTGTATGCAAGCAAGTCAAAATTATTTCGACAATTTTGATACATTTTTGCGTGTTTTAGGCAAAAATGCAGCTTATCTGAGCTCTGTGAGACAACAGACGTCTTTATTTCTCAAACTCCCGTGTTGCAGACTGGTGATCCAGTGTGGTTTGGTTGGTTTGTTGTTTAACGCAGCACTCAGCAATATTCCAACTATATGATGGCTGTCTGTAAATAATCTATTCTTGACCAGACAAACCGGTGATTGATATCATGAGCATCGATCAATGCAACTGGGATCGATGACATACATCCACCAAGTCAGCGAGCCTGACCTCCCGATCCTGTTAGTCGCCTTTTACGGCAATCATGGGTTGCAGACTGGGGATGCATTTGGATAGCAATGAGGCGAGAGAAAAACTTATCCCTGGGTTGTAGTACCGTGTGTTACCTTAAATTGTTTCCTTATAACACCCCGACACAAAAAGCAACACGTGTATCAGTCGGGGTGTATTTACAATAACAAGATCAATCGTGTGAGTTATTATTTTATTTTTTTAAATCACACCGCATGCAGCATGCATATGGTCTGACCTATAGGAAATAAAAACATGAAATTTAGATTTGTAGACAAGGCCCAGTTCACAAAATGTATTCTGAAGTCTCAATAACGACTACAAGTTATCAGAAAATGCACTTCGTCTTCAATACTGTAGGCATAAAACAAATTCATGTAGGATTTGATATGGGAGTTTGGGGCTTTGAGAAACGGCCGAGAGGTTATGTGCCAATCCAAATTCTGAGAAAATACTGCGTTGCGATCTCTAATAGTAATACTAAAAACATAATGCGAGACACTCAAAGAAAATTGAAACAATGCTGTCCTTCACTTAACGTTTCACACACACACACACACACACACACACACACACACACACACACACGCACGCACGCACGCACGCACGCACGCACGCACGCACGCACGCACGCACGCACGCACGCACGCACGCACGCACGCACGCACGCACGCACACGCACACACATACACACACACCTGTACATGGCGACACACAGACTGTGACGGTGTAACGGTGAAAGTGACTGAAGCGGACATAGAATATACCTGTTCATGCGGTGGATGATGAACACAAAAATGTCAAAAATATCCTAAAACACGATACTTTTTAGTTTATTTTCATCCTATTCTGTAAAAGATTCATATAGAATCCACACACAAACACTTTTGTTGGGAAATTCACTCACTGAGATCGTATTTCATACACGAACATCGTCCACGTCTGGCAGATATCTGCACAATGGGGGTAAAACAAAAGTGTACCAAAAATTCTTTTATATTACATTTTACGGTAAATTAATCCATTTGTTTCTTATGAAAGGCATTTTGAATTCTCGTAGTAATAGTTTTACATTGTAATTAGCGCGCTAATATAGCGCAGTTGTGGGAGATATTCTGTACTGATGAAAAACACAGACGAACATTCAGCGCGCTGTTTGGAAACAAGCAAACAATCAGCCGATATTTTCAGTAAATCTCTTTCTGTGTCTCAGTTTGTAGGAAACAGTGAAATAATCTTGCTACACAACAAATACAATGTTTATTTCCAGGTCCTAAACTTCACCTGGACGCGGCTCGGGCCAACACAAAATGGTGCCACGTAACTACAGACGGTGAGCTGGTCAACTCGTCGCCCGACACACGGGATGAGGGGCGGAACAGGCTACGGGAGTACATAGGGACCTGTAGCTCCCCCATCCCCCTTCCTCCACCCCCCTCCACCCTCAACCCCCTCCCCACCACACCAACATACTGGGAGACAAAGACCAGGGTGCGGGTGGTGGGGAAGGGAGGGTGGTATGTCCTGGAGATGGGGGTGTGCGAGGCAGGACAGGTGGACAGTGGGTACTGGGTTTCTCTACAGCGTCGCTCCTGGTGTGTCCGTGTAGAGAGATGTGGCAGACACGGGGAGAGTCTCTGTACCAGGGTGTGTCGGGAGGAGGAGCAGGGCGAGTGTCACCAGAACACCGTGTCCCCCACTCTCGGCACACAGGCCACCCTCCACTATGGCGTGGTGCTGGATGTGGGGAGGGCGAAAGTGGCCTTCATTGACTTGGACAGGGGGATTGTTCTTGTCAAGTATGATGAGGTGTTCCGGGAACCTCTTGTCCCCGTGTTTAGTGTTGGGTATGCGTCAGCTGGCTACACTGCGGCGATGAGTCTGATCAGCGGGGAGGACGTCGACATGACAGACACCAAGAGGGCCCTCGTCTACCAAGCGCTGAGATAGGAAATAAACTGGTTCTGTAAAGTTGTCCGTGTAACTGAGAGATTTCTATCAACTGTTTCAATGTCAGGCGGGGAAAGTGAGTGAAGCGGACATAGAAGTGTTCGGTTTGTGTTCTGTTTGTTGTGTACAAAATACAACCAAGTTCTTCACATGTCTGGTTTCACTACTTTCCTGGTTTCTCCTGGAGTTGGAAATTATTTTAAATACTCACACGATTATTGTTGTGATGGAATTATTGGTGTAGTTGCTAAAATTATGTCACAGCAACAACTTTCTGAAATGTGATGTGAAACAGAAGTGAGTACATGGGCAAAATGTAAAAGTTCTTTCAAAACAAGATTTCTTCTGCTAATATTGATTTATTATGATAAAACAATTGTTTTAAATACCCACACAAATATTGTTATAATGAAATAATTGCTGTAGTTGCTGAAAGTATGCCACAGCAACAACTTACTTAAATGTGATGTGATACAAGTGAGAACATGCAGTGCAAAAATGTAAAAATTGTCGCCAAACACGATTTCTTCTGCTTATATTGATTTATTATGATAAAACAATTATTTTAAATACTCACACTAATATTGTTATGATGAAACTATTGCTGTAGTTGTTGAACTGATGTCACAGCAATAACTTTCTGAAATGTCATGTGACACAAGTGAGCACAGAGACAAAATGTAAAAATTCTTCCAGAAGATGATTTCTTCTGCTTATATTGATATAATACTATAAAACAATTGTTTTAAATCCATACATAATATTGTTATGATTAAACTATGGCTGTATTGGCTGAAAGTATGCCATAGTAACAACTTCTGGTGAAATGTGATGTGAGGTATGTCACAAAGAAGCGAGTGTACAGACACAATGTAAAAATTGTTTCAAAACAAAACAGTGTCTGCTTATATTGATTTTATATACTAAAATAAGGTTTTTAATTTCACACATAAAACTTGTTGTGATGAAATTATTGCTGTAGTTGCTGAAATTGGTAACTCGCCACTATCTGGTCTGACACAGAAATGAGTGTCCCAACAAAATATTAAAATTGTTTCCAAACAAAATTTCTTTTGCTTATGTTGATTTAATACAGAAAATATTTGTTTAAACCCACACAAGAATCTTGTAGTGATGAAGTTATTGCTGTATTTGCTGAAACTATTCCACATGGTTATTCGTTGCTTTTGCTGAAGCTAGTGCACACACAACATATAAACATTCTCTCGGAACAAGATTTCTTCTGTTTGTGAAGGTGTGATACTGTAAAATGTATATCTTAAATCCAAACATGAATAAGTTATATTAATGACATGGTTACTGCTGGCATGGCTGAAACTAGGCACATTTGTAATTCTCTTGTATTTGATATTCATGACTCAATAATGTCACCATTTACTATTAGGTTTTTTTTTATATTTGCGAAGATTTACAACTATAAGATATCTGTTTTGAATACCTACGCTAATAAATTTATGACTTAACAATTGCCATAAGTAAATAACAACAAAGAAAAAACAGCTTCTCTATTCATATAATGCCAACAGTGGCCAATTAATTGCCAATGTCGACCCGATGTAGGTGTGCTAGCTGGGACAGGATCATGATGATAGAATATTTATTAAAAAGAGTTCATGATTATCATATTCTTCGAAAGAAGAGACTTGACTCAAAGCTTCCTTTTTCTAAATTATTAAATATTTTATGACATGGTAAAATTTTGCATGTAACTCAGCAAGACACAGAAGATTTTGAAATATTACTCCAGATTCCATTATTTCATATTCCTCATGTATTCATTCTTTAGAATAACTGTTTTATCACCTATACCTTATTTTAATCAGGGTGTACTGGGGGTCCAGTCCTCTCACAGCAGACTTTGATCATGGGTTCTAACATCAGATTAGCCTCATCTTCCTGAGGCAAGGGAGTTGACAGTTTTTACCCTTGCCAAACTAGGCAGGAATTCCACAGTTACATTTGGCTGGACTAACGAGTCTATGCATAGGCCAATCAAAATCGTGTAATGAACTAGTCATCATGGATTTCAACATGCAGATTTCGTTGACTGCAAGATGTGCAAAGCATGTGCACTGACAACTTGGCAGTGACAAAAGATTTTGGCAAATCTTTTCATGTTTTTAATTAAGGTAGTCAAAGGGTGGGAACAGGACTTTATAGTCGGTTAACTCCCGTGCCTCGGGAGGAGGGATTATCCCTGATTATGATTCTTGGTTTGGCAGCACCATACCTGTGTTCGTTGGGTAAACATTAGTGATAAATGTCTGAGGAATGCATCACTTTAGGTATTTCCCCTACATTAAGCTGAGACGCCATGATAGGACCGAAATTCTGTCCAAAGCTGCATTAAACCAACCTGATTAACCAGGTTTCACTGTATGTACAACAGCTTACCACAACACAACTTTGTACACAATATGATATGCAAACCAATTTTGTATCGTTGTACAAATCCAATTTGATTGAGTGTTTATTTCACCTGGTGACATTCATCTATGTCGGTGTAATTTGGATGTTGCATGTATGCTGTGTTAATCATGACCCATGTTGTCCGTATATGTGGATGAAATTGCAGTCTCACGATTAATAGAGTTCTCCACTTTTGATAGGGATATTTTTTATTTCCAGGACACACAAAACTGATTCTCATTATATGTCAAGTGTTTATTAAATGGAATGACATATCTGATTATCCCTATCAAACGTTGAGTAGCTCAGTATAAAAAATATGTCTATGTGTATTTCTGCATACATGTAGCTATGGCATAGTAATTAAATCATATGAATCTCGTTCTTGTGTTACTTTGTATATTTTTATTGATTTTAATTTGATGCTCAAAATTGACAGCATATAGATGCATCAAGTGTAGCATTCTGCAACCTTCATCCTGATCAATCATACAGAGAACTTGAATTTGATGCTCAAAATTAACAGTATAACCCATAAATATATATGCATATTGGTCCGTAATAGCAGGATGAGCCATACATACCCTAATGTATTATCATAACTTATTGATTGTATGCGCAGTTGGTTGGTTGTTTTGTTGCTTAACTTGGCACTCAGCAATATTCCGACTATATGACGGTGGTCTGGACCAGACAATCCAGTGATTGACATCATGAGTCACCTTTTACGGCAAGCATGGGTTGCTTAAGACCTATTATACCCCGGATCTTCACGGGTCTCGTATGCATAGAGATCCATGTTATCTCAATGTATCTAACCTTCTGATACTGATTGACTGAGACCCATTATTTTCAATTCACTCTTCTAATATGAAAGGTACATTTCCTATGTTCACTGCTTGAATTGTCGAACTGTTGCCATAACATTTTGCATCTCGCACTGTGATGTAAGAATATCACATTACAATGTAAGGCGCCTTTCTCAAGATATTTATAGTTTCCAAATGAAATAGATCTATGGGGAGTAACTCCAATTTTAGCTTCTGTCTTTTTAACGCCGCACTCGGCAATATTCCAGCTATATGACAGAGGTCTGTAAATAATCGAATCTGGACCAGACAATCCAGTTATTGACATCATGAGCAACAATCCACACGTTTGGGACACGATGACATGCATCACCCAGTGAGCGAGACAGACCATCCGATCCCATTGGTCGTCTCTTATGACAAGCATTGTCGCCTTTTCTAGCAAGAATGGGTTCCTGAAGATCTATTCTATCCCGGATCTACCTATTATATTATCAAAGATAACTGGCGGTGTGCCTACAGATCCATGTTAACACAATCTGTTACACTTCCCTACTATATTATCAGAGAATACTGATACTATGCCCACAGAAGCGTGCACCTACTATTTTCTCCCAAGAGTGAGGTTGTATGCATGGATGCATGTTAATGATAATGATGAAACACACACTTGTTGAAGGTATTGTATATTGTTTTATTTACTCCCATGTAAGCTATATCAGCGTACAAACCATTCTGTGTAAAATATGTTGAAAAAGACATTGCACTCTATTTGTTATATTGTCAACATGCACACTTTACATGGCAAAGGAACAGCAAATGGGGCCGACCTTGCAGACCTAAAGCACTGAAATACCTGAAAAGGATATGCGTTCAATTCACTGTCTTCAAGAAGCAAGACATTCTACATTTTTTACTTCAAACACACATTCAAACAGGAAGGAAAAAATCATCAAGCCCAGATATGAGCACCATTGACCTCGACAAGGAATATAAGGGATCGAGTAACCGGTTCAAGATTATTCAACCTGCAATGTCCAAGTTAAACATGAAACTATTTTTACATTTGGACATCAGCACATTCTTCGTAATGAAAAGTGTGGCAGGAAAAGTACAAACAATTGTTAACAGAAATCATGGACTTTTGTAAACATCCGTGTAGTTGGTGCATGTCTGCTTTCTGACTAGACACAAAATGAATCTCAGTTATCTTGACAAAGTACACGTCACGCTCACACAAATAACACATATCACTCAGAAGCAACATGCTCACTGTTAAAGTTAACTGATTGTTACTTATTCCACCACAAGTTTGGTGGACAATTGACTCTGATAAAGTCAGAGGTTTCAAATCGCAATAACAAGGTTCTGGCTGAAACAGCTAATCTGATGCGAGCATCATGTGTACATGTCTTACACAGGACCACAACGCAAAGCCTGTCATGGTATTTCAGTGAAGGAAAGAAGTATTTACCTGTCCCATAGTTTTTGAAAGTTTCTATGAAAATGGGAAAGTTGTCAAAAGATATAAATAAGAAGTTAAAATCCATAATTAACACAGCAAGTAATAGACATTTTCTTTTTTGCCATCATTCATATCCATTTAAAATAATTTACAGCTAAAAGATATACAGTTAACAGTAGCTTATATGCTGTAACATAACAAAAATACTGATCAAATATGTGGTAGTCTCAACTCACATACCTAGCCTTACCATTTAACACTGGTACCATTTATATACATTGCAAATAACTTCCTGATCACGAAAGACGAATCTGTATCACTGACTACATCCTGAAATTCACTTAGACGCCCACAGCTTAGTATCACCTGTGGTACATTCCATACAAACTGATTCATGTCATTCAACCCTTCGAAGGTGACACACGAGTTCCAGTCATCCGTCACCAAATACCTGTGCAGAGTTGCTTCCATTAGGCATGCCTGGATTCAATGATCATGGGTTTGTGTCCCAGGTTTGATATTGGTTCTTTGTCATGATGGTGTATATTTTAGGTCTGCATCACTTTCCACTCACATTAAGCTGAAAATATATGTCATAGCGGAAATACATTTTGAAGTGTCATTCACCCAAACACACTCACCACGTACTCATTCAAACGTTTTTTAGAGCATGGGATTGAGTTAAGATATTTTTTAGTTTACAAGAAGATGAGAACACCGAGAGTCTTACCACCCAGACAACGTTAACAGCATTTATTTTTTACTGTATGTCTCATAGCCGACATTACAGAGCCGAGAAAGCTCTACAAAGCTGAGGTCAGTAAAACCAAAATAAATAAAATATGTAATTTCGTTGAGAACAATTCAACATTCATCCAACAATCATTCAACATGTCTACCATTATATCATGAGTCCAAGTCGTAGTGATATTCATCAAAGGAAACAATATACCAGGTATATTAACAAGACACAACCAAAACCGGGAAGTAGAAATCATCTAATACTGAAACATCAACAGCATTCATTCTTTATGGATGCTTGTCTTTGGCAGCTGTTCATCATTCTACCATGAATTTGGAATTTACTCGATTCTGATTGGTCAATCAGAGGCTATTAAATCACAATAAATCCAATATGATTGAAACAGCTGGTTTAACGGCCTCTTTACCGCTAAGGATATGCATGTGCACGTTGTGCTTGCCCATAAAGATGGCAGAGCTCACGAATTCTGTGTCAGTGGGAACTTTTGATACAGGATGTTTGGCTGATGTCTGTCTCGACCCTGGAAATGAATGGAGTGACGATGATTTTGACATTATACTCTCCAATCGGGACAATTCTGGTGACTATAATAACACAAACATCTTCAGAAATTTGTTTTGAAAAAATCAGTTTAACAAACACGTAAACGACATTTGTCGTCTGCTGCTCAAGCTATCATATTATGATGTAAACACACACACACACACACACACACACACACACACACACACACACACACCACCCCTCATCCCCACCACCCAAAAAAGAAATTTAAGATGAAATCGTGAACGATGGCATTGTCTTTATTGACAGACGTGAAGGACACGCCGCCGAAAAGGCAAAAGCGTGCCGCCGAGCGCCCCCTAATGAAGAAGTACCCGAATGCTCGGACAAAATCAGCATATAATTTGTCAAAATAAAAAGACATTTAAATACATTTTGGGGAAGATGCTTTGAAATAAAATCGGTTTCCTAGACATTAATTTTTTTATGTAAATTATTTGCAACAGATGGAGAGGCCTTGTGGTGTCGACAAGACAGTGACGAAACATTTAGCACAAGTTGCAGAGTCTGATCTTGACAACATATTCCTAAGCAAAAAGTACCCCTAAGGGCCACAAACTGGGGAATAAATATTTTCAAACGTAAGATAACCCAATGTTTGTTTTTATGAACATAATTTAATGTACGAATGTGCAGATAACAAATTTACATCAAATTAAAAAAAATTGCAATCTTAAAATGAATCTATTACCTGTTTAAAAATTCCTTCCTTGATCACATGAATATGACTATTATTTCCATTATATTCAGAATGTATTCCATTGTATTACACAACATGGTAAATCCGTGGAATTTGTGGGGCTTCAGGCTGAGGAACTGTGCAAACATTTGAAGCACTTTTATGCAGATGTTCGTAATGTGGATGGCCAATATTATTCCAAGTCATCCTTCGTCGGTATGAGAGCAGCAATTCACCGTCATATTCGCGCTCCTCCACATGATCGGAACATCAACATATTGCAGGATAAGGAATTTCACACTGCGAATAACGTGTTTCTCGGTATGTTGCGTAAACTAACAAAAGACTTGGCCTAGATAATGCTACGCACCACGATGCCATATCCCCTGGGGATTTTCCAAGATTCGCGATTTTCAGTCAGTAGACAACCCTGTGAGTCTTCAGCAAAAAGTATGGTTTGACCTCACCCTTGGTTTCGGTCGTAGGGGTTGTGAAAACCAGAGGGAGTTGTCTGTCCATTCCTTTGCAGTTGAAACAGATGAAGTAGGGGTAGAATATGTAACAATGTCCCATTCAGAGGCTACAAAAAAACATCCCGGGAGGGTTGCAGGATAAAGGGAAAGCCACAAATTTATGCAACAGGGACCCAATCATGTCCCGTAGCAGCTTTAAAAAAAATACCGTTCCAAACTAAATCCAAGTAACATGGCTTTTAGTCAACTCCCGCGAAAACATGTTCATGAAACCGATGGTACATGGTACACACTAAAACCCCTTGGTCACAACACAATCTCTCAAATGGTGAAAGTAATTTCCACACAATTCAGCTTGAGCAAGGTGTATACGAATCACTGCGTCATAGCCACAACTGTCACTCTCCTCTCGCATGCCGGTGTTGAGGCGCGCGAAATTGTAAAATTAACAGGTCACAAAAATCAGCAGTCGTTGATGTCTTACAACACAGACTCTTCCTCCAGCCAAAAGCGGCAATACTCGGGTATTCTCCAGGGTATCAGCGTGAACAATACTTCGAATAATCAGGTTAACATGTCACAACAATTTCACACTGGAATGTCTGGTCCGTACCAACTCTCCAACTGC